GGCTGCGCACTCCGGCGGATCAAAGCAAGTTCGAGATAACGCGGTTTCACCTATAACGTGGTAAGATTTTTTGGCTCCTGAGGACAGCGTTATAGTGGGGTAGAGGTGTATTTAAAAATAATATGGATATTAATTAAAATGAGGTACTTAGTAGTTGCTAACAAAAGTGATAGTTTTCAAATCTGTCTGTCAATGGAAATCTATAGCCTTTTTTGAACCAGCTGAGTTTTGCGAAAGATTTGAAGGGCCAGATTCTGCTCCCATTTATATCAGTGTAGGTCTGATGGTAGTGGAGTTCCTTTGGATTTATACTGGTGTAATGGAGAGCGTAACGTGGGCCAGAGTATATTATTGTGCATCATATGTATATTCTGAATTACAATATTCAAATGTTCAAAAGGTAAAGGAGGAGATTTCCAAAAGGCACAAATGGGAAGTAGGGCACATCAGTGGGAATTAACTGCCATTAATGGGAATTAACTGCCATTTGTGCCTTAGAAATTAGCTCCTCAAAGTGCTTTTTGTGTATCCCTTTTAAACGGTCTGGCTTCAGTAGAGCTCTGTTGATTTACACCAGCTGAGGACCTGACCCAGCATAATGAAATGGTAAAGCACAAAAAGGTTTTTTAGCTTGCAAGATAATGAAAAAAGTAAATGTGTGATGTGTTGTTATCACCATTGACAGCAGAGGGAATAGACATCCTTACAACTGATTTTAAAGCTATTTCCCGTATCTTTTTTTTAAAGGTTATGAAGATTATGATCACATGTGCCGCTCTGCCTAGCTGTTCCCTTGGAGACGATGGTGGTTCCCTAGAGAATAGGTGGAAATGCCTGGTTAACCATCAGCTTCCTGCTCTTTTTATCCAAAAGATTCTCTAACTACTTTTTAACAACTCTCCGTTTTATTCCATCATGTTGTCTCTACCAGCTTAAACTATTTCCTAAGATGGTCCTTTTGCTGTTCCTTGCAATCCTGTTATCGAAGGAAGATGCCAGTGGGAACTTTGGGTTTTTGGTTTCTGCACAGTCCAATGAAAGAAGGGTGGTTGCACATATGCCTGGTGATATTATCATTGGAGCTTTGTTTTCTGTCCACCATCAGCCAACTGTTGACAAGGTCCATGAGAGAAAATGTGGAGAGGTAAGGGAGCAATATGGCATACAGAGAGTGGAAGCGATGCTTCATACCCTGGACAGAATTAATCTGGACCCAACACTGTTGCCAAATATCACGCTAGGCTGTGAAATAAGGGACTCTTGTTGGCATTCTGCCGTGGCTCTGGAGCAAAGCATTGAGTTCATAAGGGACTCTCTTATTTCATCCGAAGAAGAAGAGGGGATAGTGCGCTGTGTCGATGGATCTTCAACATCTATCCGCTCCAAGAAACCCATTGTCGGCGTCATTGGACCTGGTTCTAGTTCAGTAGCGATCCAGGTCCAGAACTTGTTGCAGCTTTTCAATATACCTCAGATTGCTTATTCGGCCACGAGCATGGACCTAAGTGACAAAACTCTGTTCAAGTATTTCATGAGAGTCGTGCCATCTGATGCACAGCAAGCTCGAGCTATGGTGGACATTGTCAAACGCTATAACTGGACCTATGTTTCTGCTGTACATACTGAAGGCAAGTGTTCTACGTTTTTCATCCAAGCATGATTTTGAATTGCAAGCAGTAGGTAGTTAATTACTAGATGGTTATAGTGTTGTCTCTTTTTTTTTAACCTGTTAGTTCTGAATGGTGTGGATTACATACTTTAGTTTAAACATTAATTTCATACACTTGATGTGTCTCGGTGACATTGGGCTGGTATTGATTGAACAGAAGGTTTGAAATCCAGAGTTTCACAGTGTGAAATGTGTTTTTCATATCATTTATCACTTACATAAAGTCCTTCAGGTGACATTTAAAAATTGGCTGGGTAATTAGCTTAATGTAGCTACTACTCAATAAAGCAGTTAGAATATTCATTATGTTTATGGTGGTGGCAACTGCTAAGGGAGGTAATTCTGGTCTTAGCAGTATGAGCTGCACTGGGGCATGGGAGAGCAGTGATAGTAGCTGAGCCACATGCTTCTCGTTGGCGCTTGATGCCAGTATGAGTGTATGCAGAAGAGACTTGGGGACCTGGCCAATGCTCTGAGTGACCACACCTCCTTAGGATCAAGGAGAACATTTTTCTAGGACCTCTCTCTAGTATTTAATGGACCACTAGGTCAATTTTTTGACCTATATCTGCTCCTCTGCATTTGGGGATGGGTGGGAAAAGCCTTCTTGCACCTTTGTCACACTCCCATGTTCCATGCAGGTGTGTAACAGGCCAGAATTGTGCCCTACACACCTCTCCTTCCTTTAAGTTTCTTCCAAGGTTAGAGATTTTACACTGTACTGTGAAGTGCATGCAGTAAAAGTATGGGATAGGGAGGAGTGAAGGTAGACTCCAAATGAGAAAAAGAGCCTGATACCTCCATGGTTTACACTGGCTTACTACACTGGGGTAAGTGAGAGGAAAAGCAAGCCCAAACCAGTATAAGCCCTGCTTTTACATGCCTGAGCAACACTAGAGAGTGGGAGTGGTGTGGCAGTACTGGTCACACAGTGCTTACAGCGTGGGGTAGAGTAAATGTGTAGTAGTGAGCACGCTGTCCAAAAGAACAGTATATTTCTTTGCCCAGCAAGTGCTGAACACGTCTGCAGATGTTCTATTTGCTTTATCACAACCATTGGGCAACAGCTCTTACCCCCCCCCTCCCTGCCCCACAAACATACTGTGAATCTGGTGCTTCGATAGGCACTTTACCCATCTTTTGGGGGTAATGTTGACCTGATGCATGGGTGTGGTGACCTCCTCTACTCTGGCTGATACCTATAACACATCGTATAGGACTTAGACCTAAGTATTAAAAGACCATTAACCCTAGTGAATGTTAACTGTCTTAGAACGTATATGCAGATTTTTAAAAGCAATTTTTCCATCCTGCTCATGAGGGATGATGAGTAATTGCAGTCTTATTCAGATATGTATGCATGAATACATTAGCAGTTTAATGTAACAGAGTATAAATCACACAGCGTCATATCATGCGCTGAAGCTGCTATGGGCCATATGACCTCCACGTCGGACCTTCCTATCACAAAATGTGTGTGAATATCAGCTTGGGAGCATTATTTTAAAAAGGAGGAGGATATAAGTGATATATTAGTGTTGCATATTATCATATGATGTCACTTTTTTAACTCTTCCAACTTCTGCACATGCAACGTCCCCATTTTAAGGTCACACATCCAACACAAGTAGAGTTGAGCTTGTGTCGATGTCTGTCTCCACACATCATAGACACACAACATAGACCAAACAGTAACATGCATCCCTTGATAATCTTACCACAGAAGGTGGTTACATAGCGGTGGTTGAATGTTGGGAATGAGGGGCATCGGGACACTGAGATTGAAGCTAGAGATCGCTGCTGTGGATGAGACAAGGGGGGTGGATGGGTTTGGGGATGGGAAGAAGGGACCCAACAACCACCAAATGTGTAATTAGTAAGATATTTGCTTATCGCCATCCTGAATACATGGAATAGATGGTGGCCTTTAAGCCAAAGCCTTGGATAGGGTGTGGTGTGGAGCATCACTGGAGAGATGCCCAGTCTCTCCTAATGCTGTTCTTTGCACAGATAAGGGAATGCAGTTTGTGCCAACCATTAATTGTGGAACAAGAAGCCTCCCTGTCCACTTTTCGGTGTCCTGTTATTGCAAGCAGCCCCAAGAAAGGTTGTGGGGAAGCTTCTTGCTTGTCTTTCCATCCCTGCCTGGCCACACAGAGGCTGCTCACCATCTGGGCCTTTTTGCAAATTGCATCTGTGTCTGGTTTTGTCTTTTCAGATGGTATACTCTTGGGGCAGGGATTGTCTTCCTCTGTGTTGGAAAATGCCTTGTGCCCTTTGGATGCTACCACCACCTGAACTAAAAAATAATAATTAACCTCCCCTCCCCCCCAAAAAAGTGTAACCACCGACGGAGAGCTGGATTTCCAGATGTTTCAAATGAATGCTGTTCTTTATCTTATGATCAATCTCTAGTAAACAAGAATCCACAAGCATAGAAGGAAACATCAAGGACTTTTCTTTGCTTAGTCTGGAAAGAATTGTTAGAGCCTAAGGGCAGATCCTCAACTGGTGAAATTCAGCAGAGCTTCATCTGTTTTACACCAGTTGAGGGTTAGATCCTCACTGTTCAAATGTATCATTCGGTTAATTTTTGCAAAGCAGTTTTAAAGAACCTAACACTTGAAGTTCTGTGTTTCCATAGGGGTGTTTTACATGGAAACAAAGATCTTGCCAATTGGAAACCTCCAAGGCCTGATTACACCGTGTTTACACCAGAGTAGCTCCACTGATGTCATTGGAGGTACTCCTGATTTGCAGTGGGAGTGGGTGAGAGTAGAATCAGAGGCACACATTGGGATCCTACCATCTGATGTCACATCCAGATGATGAGCATGTCCTCTCTGTCTGAATAGCCTCAGAATTCCACAAATAAACATAAAATGCTAACAGCTTGGCTTTAAAATTGGCTATAGAAATAGGAATTCATTCAGCTGTGCTGGGCACTTTCCAAACCCTTGCTGCTGTCCCAAAGAGGAAAAAAAATGACAAAATACAGATGAAGGTTGGAGAAAAGGGATTCAACACACACGTGCAAATAGATCTGGGTGACGTTATTCATGAGCCTTGTTATTTCCTTTTTTAAAAATATGTCTAAACTATTCCCAACTACCTGTCTACCTAGTTATTTGTAGGTTTTATTTTTTAACTGTAACTCATCCTCGCCTAGTTTCTATTTCTTTTTAAACCTCCTGACTCTTGCACATTTACCTATTGATTTACACCCATTATTATTTCAAATATGAGTAAAAATGCTAAATCCCACTCTTACGCCTAACTGCTATCTTATCCATGATCCCCGCGCATTAACTATTGAGATGGCAGCCCCCAGCCCCTCCTTCAGGATCTTCCGTAAGCCTAAGTGTCGGCACTCATTCCCTTCTGCCTACGTGTATAGGCAGGGCACCGTGAGCCCTGACACGCAATCTCTGACTTCCTGAGGGGGAATGTTTACATCCCCAGGAGGCAGAGATCCTACACCTCATGGCTGCCCTTGGTAGAGGACCTGGACAGGGAGGAAAGTGAAGGGAAAGTCCATCCTGGCTGATTAAAAGATTTTAAGGTTAGAAGGTACCACTAGTCTACCCTCTGCATAACACAGGCCATAAAATTTCACCCAGTAATCCCTGAAGTGGAGGGAAAATATTATTACTTATTTTCCAGCCATGTGCTATACAAGCACACAGAGATTATCCCTTCCCCCAAGAATCTAAATAGACATAAGGTAGGAGGGGAAACAAAGAAGACAAGAGAGTTGCTCAAGATCATTGGAAGAACTGGGTTTAGACCCAGGTCTCCTGAGCCCCAGCCTAGTTCCCTAGCTCTGACAGTACAATTTATTTCCTTACATAAACAGTGAAAGAGCGAATATCAGGTAAATCGTCAGTGTTCACATGCACCAAGAGTGATTGGTGAGCCACCTTTGGCTAATCCTAATGGTGCTGGAGTCAGATCTGCATTGGTTAGTGCCTCTAAATCAGTAGGTTGTTGTTTCTGTCTATTGGAGGAACTACATATAAAAGCAGACTGTCTCCTGATGGCTACATTTCTGATATTGCATATAATAAAAGTTGTCTTGTATTAATAATCTTGCAGAGTGAAGGCTTAAGTTAATGAGGACAATTATTTCTGAACAGTAATCATCCAAGAGCTAAAAAGGACAACAAAACCGTGTTAAACAGCATTAAACGTGTGATGCTGGAGTGAGATTTTGGAACTATGCTTTTTGGCTGGATAGGGAGGAACTGGGCAACCATGAATCCTGTATTCCTAAAATGAATGTGGGTGATGAGCCAATATGTATTCATAGGAAATCTCCAGTAGAATTAAAGCACTTGGCTTTGCAAAGTATCACCATGTCAGTGCTCTTTCTCCAGCTGCAGAGTTCCTCAAGTGTCTCAGCCCTTGTCACTACTGAGCACACAGGCAAATGAGTCAGACACACATGCCCACTGTGCATCGTCTTTAACTGCACACTTTACCAGCGTGGTGAAAGCCCTGTGCAAAATTCATTGCACATGCCCAGTGGGCAGTTCGTAAAGGGTCCTAATGGCATGAAAATCCTTTCTCGTGGACCATTGACCTGTGATGGCTGTTTCACTGGCAGGTTTCAAATGTCTACAAAAGAGGAAAAGAACTGAGCCGGCTCCATATCCCCTTTTCACCCCCTGGATTTAGGGTAGGGAGCTGATATGACTCCCAGAATGCATTAAAGCAGCCCATGCAGCTGCTCTGTCTTACGGCAGCCTCCCTAGGGCTGCCTATGGACTGTACTGCTGTCTAAAAGCTCCATTGCACTGATTGCTCTGGGTACATTCCTGCCTGACCCCAACCTACCCACTCCCACCAAACCCCCCTATGCTGTGACCCAGTAGGGGCGGGGGGCTGTGTAGGGCCACTTAGGTTGTCCTTAGGCAGCTGCCGCACTTTGGGAATTCTCCCCTGGCCTACTGTGACTTT